CCCCGCCGGCAGGACAGGCGCCCTTTACGGCGGGCCCTTGCTGCGAGCCGCGGCGCGCACCCCAGCCACTCCGCCCCCCCGCCCGCTCCCCCGCACCCATCACCACGCGCCTGCCGGCGCGCCGCGCGCAGGGCAAGGACGCGGTGGCTTTCCTGGAGGGGTTGGTGGTGGGCGACATCTCGGGGCTGGCAGACGGCACCGGCTCCCTCAGCGTGTTCACCAACGAGAAGGGCGGCATCATCGACGACACCGTCATCACCAAGGTGAGTAGACCCTCGGTGACGCGCGCAGGGCGGCTTGCCGGAGGCGCCTGGGGGCGTAAAAACCTGGCGTTGTCGGACTCACCTGCAATGGGGCGGCGCCCCGGCTCGGAATGCAGCCGGCTGTGTAGGGCCAGCCAAGCCGGCGACGAGCGAGCTGCAGCGCGCGCCAGGCCGTGCAGCCTCGACAGAGGGCGGGCATGTACTTGCTCAGGGATGGAATAAGAGTTTCACTTGCTTCGGCTGCGACGACCCCGGTGCGAGCAGGTGACGCCCACCGAGATATATCTGGTCGTCAACGCCGGCTGCCGCGACAAGGACCTCGCCCACATTGGCGCACACCTCAAGGCAGCACAGGCGCGCCCCGAACGCCGTCCTGCCGTCCACGCAGGGTGGGGGGATCCCACTCGGGTGTGGCGTGTCGCGCTGGCCCCTCCTGCGCCCGCTGCTCGCCGCACTGAGTATCCTCTGGTCTCCACTCCTCTCAACACGGGGCGCGGCTTCATTCCCCTACCCCCCCCCCCCTGCAGGCCGCGGGCAAGGACGTGTCCCTCGACGTCCACGATGACCGCGCGCTGCTGGCGCTGCAGGGCCCCGCCGCGTCCAAGGTGCTGCAGGGTTTGACCGCGTTTGACCTGTCAAAGTTCTACTTTGGAAACTTCGCGCGGTTCGAGGTTGCGGGCGCGCCTTGCTGGGTGACGCGCACGGGGTGAGCACACGCGCGCGGGACCGGGCGGGTGGGGGCCGGGCGGCCGCGAGGGGGGGTGGGGGCCCGGCTGGGGACTGCCGGGGCCGCGTCGGCGCGGCTGGGCGCGGCTTACGGCATGCAGAGGCGAGGAGTTTGCTCGATCAGAGGCCGGGGGGAGCGGCTGGAGCGGCGGCCTGGGCGCGCGGGCTGCCAGCTCAGCGGAAGGTGCGCGGGCATCGGCCGCGCGTCAGCTGATTAATCTTTAGCAAGGGATGCTCACGAGCAGCGCGTCCCTTGTTGCAGGTACACTGGAGAGGATGGGTTTGAGATCAGCGTGCCCAACACGCACGTTCAGCAGCTGGCTGACAAGCTCGTGGCCAATGAGGAGGTGCGGCGGCGCATGTGTTGCGATTCCGCATCACGTCCCCCTGGCGCCAGCACACGCAGTTGCAACGCGGCGCCCGTCGTGGCGCGACACCCCCCACGCCTGCACTACCCGCGACCCAAGCCGCCGCGCGGCCAGGGCTCAACGGTGGCCGCCCAAGTAGGCGGCGACGCTGCAGCACCAACCACGGGTGTATGCCGACGGCCGCGGCGCCGCTCCCCTGCCCTGGCAGGTCCGCCTGGCGGGGCTGGGCCCCCGCGACAGCCTGCGGCTGGAGGCGGGGCTGTGCCTGTATGGCAACGACCTCAACGAGGACATCACACCCATCGAGGCCGGCCTGGCCTGGACTGTGGCCAAGCGGCGGCGCGAGGCCTTTGACTTTTTGGGCGGCCAGGTGGGGGGCGGGCGGGGCTGACGCGCCGCGCTGCGCTGCGCTGCGCGCGGGCGCGGGTGGCGGCGGCCGATTAGAGCCAGTTGAATCCAGGAGGCTGGGGGTCCACTATGAAGGGAGTCGCGTGCAGGCCCAGAGGCAGTAGGGTGCTGGCCAGGCGCGCAACGGAGGGCGGCGTCCCCTCCCCGAGTTGGGACGCCGCCAGCATTGGCCGCACACACCCGCGCAGCTCGTTCAGCCCAGCGCTGGGGTCATGCCGCGCGGCCGCAACTCCCTGCAGACCGCGGCTGCGCCAGCACAGAACAGCACACCGCGTCCTATCCCATCCCAACACTTAGTTTGCTAAACCGCAACGCGGTCACGTCGCACGCGCGCGTCGTCACAACCGCCGCAGGTCATCAAGCAGCAGCTCGCCGACGGCGTCGCGCAGCGCCGCGTCGGCTTCGTCAGCAGCGGCGCGCCCGCGCGGCAGCACAGCGAGATCACCACGCCCGACGGCACGCGGGTGGGCGAGGTGACCAGCGGCGCCTTCAGCCCCTGCCTCAAGAAGAACGTGGCCATGGGGTGAGGGGGTGGGAGGGGGGCAGCTTGGGGGGATGATGCACGGGCAAGAGGAGCCTTGAGGGGAAGCGGGTGCCGGGGTAGGGGTGTATGCAGAGGGGTCATTGTGGAAACCCTCGCGGCCGGCGAAGCGCACAAATATGAGCGGGCTGGGGCTGCTTGGCCGACTGGAAGCTTGAGACTCCTGAGACGGTTTGAGGCACTCAGCACCTGGGCGCGCATGCGATTTGCGATTTGCCGCTGCAGCTCCCCTTGCGGTCAACCGCGCGCATAGGCTGGCCTGCACGACACACGCGCGCACACACACACACACACACACACACACAACCACACACACGCACAATACACACATGCAATTGTGCGCGGGCACACACGCACGCACACAAACGCACACGCACACCCTCACGCATACACACACACACAAACACATTCACGCGCGCCGCAGCTATGTCGACAAGGCGTACGCTAAGGCCGGCACCGAGCTCAACCTGGTGGTGCGCGGCAAGGCCCAGAAGGCCGTTGTCACCAAGATGCCCTTTGTCCCCACCACCTACTTCAAGGGATGAGCTACCGCCAACCCGGCGGCTGGCGGGCCGCGCGCCGAGCTGGCTGCCTGGGGGGCCCTGTCGAGCGGCGCCCGCCGCATGCGGGACCGTGCAACTTTGGCAGTCGGCACGAGGCGGCTTTCAGGCGCCGATTGGCCGTGTGTGCACGGCCGGGACTCCCCAGTTTTTGTTACGGCTTGCTTGCTTGCTTGTAATTCCTCGTCCCACTGGCGAGGTTGACACAGACGCGGCTGATGCACTGCTGGCAAATCGCGGATTTTTCGCACCGCGCCGGCAGGTGCATTGGGTTGTTGGTGGCACCGCGCCGGTTCAGACCTGGGGCCGCCCTGCTTAACAGGGGCAATTAAACGTCAAAGACCGCTTCCCGACCATGACATTGGCTTTGCAAATGGCCGCAATTCTACAGTGCCGGTGTGGAACAAATAAAATGGGCTCACTTGCATACCAGCAAAGTAAACGTATACAACTACAAACGTCTCATCCAGTGAGCTATAATTGTATATCCAGATATGTATATGGGTCACAGAACAAACAAGCGCAGAAGTGTCTGCGTATCTACTGTTTGCTGCTGCCACTGCTCGGGGTGCCGCTCCCACTGCCACCGCCACTGCTGCTTGCCAGGCTGTTAGGGAGAGGGATCTGCAATGCACGTGGAAGAAGGGCAACAGCAAAAAATTTACTGTCCTGTGCTGGAGCAGGGTGGTGGGGCTGCGGAGAGACACATGGTGCGATAGGCAGAGCGGGACCCAGGGGGCTGGCGGTTAGCTGCCCAGGCCCCTCTCACCCCGGCTTGCTGCGCCGTGCGCTCCACCCAGCCTCTCAAAGGCTCCTCCTGCTCATCCAAGCCAAGGACTCCAGCAAAGATGCCTCCCAGGAATGCAACAGGCTCCTGCGGCAGGCGGGGGCGCACAACACGAGGGGCCTTAGATAGGCCTTGTGTGGTGGCGAGCGCCGCTGCTAGACACACAACATCCGCACTGTTTGCGTGTCAGAGACCCTCAGACCCACCGTGAGTGCAGCACGTATGATCGGGTCGCTGATGCTGTCAGGCAGGCCCCTGGGTAGGGACGCGCATGTTGTCGCATGGCGCCACTGCTGCTGCTGCACACGGTGCGGTCCGATGGGTGCTGCTCGTGCTGGCCGCTGCGCATTGCGTTGTGATGGTCTCACGGCGGTCAACCTGAAGGCCTGCGCAACAGATGCGCTCATTTTCTAGACAATTGATTCTACAGCGACCGTCTGCGAACGAGATCTGACAGGTTGCGAACAAGGGTCGAGGCAGATACCGGTATTTATCTATGTGACACCGACTCGATACCATTACAGTGAAACAGAAACGAGACTCTGGCAGGCAGGCTGTCCTTCTTGGGGAACAAAACCACTGACTTCAATTGCTGACATACGTGCGTGTGCGTGTGGCACCAGCCTGGCAAGTGCGCAAGAACGCTGCCACCTGCAGCTCATCCAGTGAGGTATGATCACTACCCAGGTCTCTTGATTTGAGTGGTTTGATGTATCTCAGACCCTGACATTGCGCATGCTGCAGCAGAAATTCAGTAAACCCTGCGTGACTTACAAAAGCTATGTACTTGATGGCCTGGCGTCAGATGACCTAAGTGTCACAAGATAAGCCACCATGCACCAATTGTTTGTTTGATGCTGCAGCAGCTGTGCGTTCAAAACGGCGCTGTAGTGCACTTTGCAGCATCACATCGTCATGTGAGCGGGCATCGCAGCCCGCTGGAACACGACCGTCCATCCGGCCAGCGGTTCGTTTGTCGTCGCTCGAGGAGCAGCAAAACAATGAATGAAATACCTGCGCAGCCTTCATGCATGCCTTTAAATTAGGTTGGTCAACCTTTGCGCCCGCCGCGCACCTCAAGCAAGCTTGTCAATGCTCGGCCACGTCCAGTTAAAGCTGGGCGGCAGGCAAGCACCCATAGTGGGGTTGCACTTCAGTGGGCCCCAGTACCCGCAGCACTCGCTGTCGCTCTTGCAAGGGTCCCACTGCTGCGTACAGTTGGGCTTGCACACGCCCGTCGGGACGTGGGGATCCGCGCCCGGCAGCCTGAGCGCGCATGAGTGCCCGGCGCAGCATGTGCCCGCGACGTTGAAAGGGCCCTCACACGGCTCCCCCTCGCGCCGGCACGCCAGCTCCTTGTAGCGAGGCGGGGCTGGGCTGATCGCGGTCGCTGACGAGGACGCGGTTATCGCGCTGCAGGGCGGCCCGTCGCCTTGTTTGCGCAGCTCGTCGCAGCGCGACTGGGGGCCCATCGGAGGGGGAGCGGAGGTGGAAGTTGGGGTGGGCAGCAGTTGGGGGCGAGGCGGGACTACTGGAGGGCGCTTTGTCAGGCCTGCGCCATCACAGATTAGCAGCCGCTCGACTCCAGCAATAAGCGTCAACCCTGACAGCCAGCGCACTTACCTTGGCCAATGAGCACAGCGTCGCACCCTCTCCTATGCTTAACACTGGCACGCCGCAGAACCCGCCCCCGCCGCTCTTCGCCGATCCGCCGGCGCTCCGCGACGCCGTGCCGCTCTCCAACACGCCGCCCAGCGCCCGCAGCGCGGCCCTGACAGCGCCGTCCAGGGCCGCCGCAGTCGGGGCCCCCAGGACGACCTCAAAGTGATACATGCGCCCCCTCCGCTCCCACTCCGCGGCCGTCGGCGCGCGCAGCGGCTCGTACCCCACCACGCGCGTGCTGGCGGCGCCGGTGCCCTCCAGCAGCAGCCACCGCTGCACCGCCGACAGCAGGCCCTCCTGCACCGCCGCGTCGTAGCCGCCCGGTGACGTCATCGTGACGTTCACGCTGAGGCTCGCTTGGTCCGGCGTCCAGGTGCAGCGCCGGCCTGCCGGCCCGCCGCCGGCGCACTTCAGGAACGGGCAGCACTGCCAGCCGTGGCTGCAGCCCTCCCCCTCCCTCTTGCAGGTCGGCCCCTGCCGCCCCGTCAGCGAGCGGCACGTGCCGCGCGTCGGCGCGTCGGGCCGCAGGTCGCACTCCTGGAACGCCCAGCTGCAGCAATTCAGCGTCACCCCGTCACAGCCCTGGCCCTCCAGCCGGCAGACGGGCGCGGCGGGCGCCGCATCGGGCGGGACGGCGGTTTTTGTGGCCTTGGAGGACTCAATAAGGAGGGAGGAATTCGGGTCAAACGGGTCGAGTTCCGCCAGGTCCTGTGGTCAACAGCGGGGGACGAGATATGGGGTTGAGCGGCGGCTTGTGTGCTGTGGTGAGGGGCCCGAGTTGTGGAGGCAAGGTCGAGTGCTTGTGACTCCCAGGATGATTTGTTCAAGGGAACACAGTGTGGCAAGGGGCAGGAGGGCACCCGGCCGCGGCACATGAGGCATATCCGCACCGGGGGCTGCGCACCCGCCACCCTGAGGACGCTTCCCCTGCTGTCTGGCCGCGACGCTAGTGGCGGCGCGTCAGCACACGCCGCTCCAGCTGAGCCCCGCCTTGTGCCCTCTGCTCACCGCGGCGTATTCGCAGAGGCCCGTCACGCCGCCCTCCACCTGCAGCGAGCACGCGCCCCCCCTGTTGACCGCCACCACCGCGGCGTCGCGCGTCGCAGCCGCCTGCCGCGCGTCCTTGCCTGCGCGGTCGCACGGCGCAGGTGGCTGGACCAGCTTGGGGAGCGCCGTGGCCCGGCGCCCACGGCTCATACGCGCTCGGGCGCGTCGCAGACATAGGTGCGTTGGCGTTCCGCGGCTGGGCCCGCCGCACCGCCTTTTATTTACTCACGCCTCCCAAAGGCCAACCTGGAAAAAGGACGATGAAGTTGTAGACAATCCCGGCCTCTGTCGCACGCGGCTGCTTCGGCAGCATGCGCCTGCGGCTGGCGACCTTGAGGCTGACGGCCTCGTGCCTGGAGGAGTGCACCCAGCCGGCCACGGCGGCGCCACCCTCCTGAAAGCGCAGGCCGCTGGCGAAGGCCGCCTCCAACCGCGAGTCAAACGCCGCCGGCCTGCGCACGACCACCCTCGCGCTCATGGCCGCGAGGCCGTTCGCCCTGGCTCGTGCACGCACTGCCGCCGCTGCTTGCAGCGTGCGGCCCGCGGGCGCCGCTGTTGTTGGCCATCTGGCATTTGATGTGCAAGCCAAGCTTCCTGGGGCGCAAGCGCCTGAATTACGGGACCCTGTTTCTGTCGTAGCGCGCGCTACTGCAAGGACTGCTGCCCTGCCGATGGCGTATTGCGGCGGGCCATGCAGCATCGGTTCTGAGCGATGGACAGGGTGACAAGAGACAAGGTACAGCATACACGGTGACAATCAGGCTGAGGTCATGCCATACAGGCAGTTCCATCAAAATATTCCTGCTCACATCAAGAAGAAGGATGGTCCAGCTACCCCATGGGAGCGGTGGCACCTGCACCCATTTGCCATGAGCGGCGTGCCCTGCTGCTTCGCGCAGCTGGAGCCGCAATCTCCGCAACAGCGTTCTTGCGTGCAGTTTTGTGTGATCAACCTGATCTTAGGCACGATGACGGGGTATGCCCTTGCTGCATGCGCGTAGGGCAAGTCAAAGGTCGATGAGGCGATCTGAAGGGCAGCTAGCCTATCGTTTGGCGATGCGATGTAATGCTATGCCATATATGTGATCTGGATTGTCCGATCTGGCTTTGCAGGCAACCGCCGCGGAACAGCTGCAGCCCGCGGGGTACTGTAGGTCAGCTGTGGTGCAGCCAGCACCCGGTATCACCGAGTGTTCCGCGGAGAACTCCGGATAATGTATAAATTGCCTATGCAGGAAGCGATGTTGCAGCACCGTCGGATAAGGAGCTGCCGCAGACCTTCCCTCGGGGCCGCCCAAATTGTTGAGAGCTGCCAACAGCACAAGCGGCTCCCTGGGCGCGGATGGTTTGGTTGCCTGCACTGTGCAGCGTACATTGTTCCAGACCTCCTAGCAATCTGGAAATCTGGCACCATCGTGCTTTCGACGGCACACCAGCACCCTGCAAGTGGTTAGTGGTTGGTTACATCGCGACCGTGCGCCATATTTGTCGCGCCCAAGGGATGCATCTGATGACAGTGACTGCAAGCCAGCCCAAGCTGCTTGCGCAGAAGTAGTTGCATTGCTTGGTGGTATGCGTGACAGGGCCAGCAGGCGCAAAGCGCGGGCTCCACAGTCCACCCGCGAATGTGCCTGAACAGAAAATAAGCCAGGTAACTGGAAAATGCCACGAAGCCACGTCTTGACACACACGGCAGTTGCTTTTTGACGCAATCAATGGAGCATGAGCGCGAGCGCGCGGCGCTCCATGCCGCCCGCATCGGCGCAGCGGCGGTTGGAGCAGCGGACAGAAAGTGTTGATCCCGGCATCAAGGAATTCATGACCTGCCTAGAGTTGCCCCTGCATTTGGCGCATGGGCCGCACACCCCCAACACAGGCGTGCCGCAGCGCCTGCCATTCGGAGCCAACAATAACTTGAATATCCTCAAACCGCCTCCTTCTTGCTGTCAGCTCGAATGAGCGGCAGCTTCTCCTCCGCCGCAGCGCCCCCGCCGCTGCTGCCGCCACCTGCGGCCTGCGCAAACTTCTCCCTTTGGTACCAAAAGATGCCGACCAACGCAATGGCGTAGCCGCACCACTGCTGGCCAGTGACCGGCGTGTGGTATATCAACTGCGTGTGCGGTGACGAGGTGGAGGTTTGGTTGGGTTGGAGAGATGGGGAGAGACTTGGGAGGAGAGAAGAACGTACCTACGCTGATGCATCGCCAAGTCTGCTTGCGAGCTGCACAATGCAAATGCGGGGCGCCGTCGCCGCGCAGCCGTGCCGCCAGCGCAGCGCCTCGTGCCGCACGCAGCAAGGGTGTTTCCCACGCCGCCACGACCGGCCCCCACCCTCCTTCGCCGCCCTCACGACGTGCATCAGACTGCTCCCGCCCGCCTCCTGCCACCTCCTGCTGTGCCACGCCCGCATGCCCCGCCCCGCGGCCCGTCCCACGGCCCGGCCTCGGGCCCACCCACCATGGCCGTGAGGATGCAGACCCACTCCTTGAGCGGCCCCGTGATGCTCGTCGTCAGCGCGCTCGTCTTGCCGATCAGCGTGAACACCACCAAGTTGAGGCTCGCGGCCGCCATGCAGCTGCCGCCCAGCCACGCCCAGGGGATCGGGTGCGTGTGGTTGCGCAGCTTGGACGACTCCATAAGCAGCGCCGGGATCAGCAGGCTGGCCGCGGCCATGGGCGCGACGCAGTACAGCGTGCCCACGGGCGACAGCTTGACCTCGTTCTTCTGCATCACGAGCTGCAGCAGCGTGCAGCGCACGGCGTCGGACACGATGGAGCCCAGCTGGAGGGAGACGCCCAAGAAGTTGGCGCGGACCTCCCCATAGGACGCGATCATCACGCCTGCGGCGACGATCAGGACCTTCAGCATCGACCGGTTGTTGTAGGTCTCGGTGCCAAACAGGAGGCCGACCATAAAGGTGGTCGCGGCGCCGCAGGCCTGGTCGCGGCGCGGGCGGCGGGGCGCGGCGCGTGGGTTTTGGGCCGCGGGAAGCGGGGGGGGGGGGGGGCGTGCTCTCGCCGATGACTGCCGCTGTGAGGGTGCGCAGGCCCGCTGCAGGCTTGTGGTGCTGAAGGACCAAAACACCACGCCAGCGGCCTAACAGCAGCCGCGCCCGCTGTGCCCGCCCATGCCGGCCCGGCTGCGCCAGCCGCCCAGTGCCCGCTGCCCGCACCTTGAGCATCTGGATGCTGGGCACGGATAGGTACAGGAATGCCGAGTTGGCGAGCACCAGCACGAAGCCGAAGAGCGCTGCGATGCCGCCCAGCTGTATGTAGAATTTGGGCTTCACCTTGCTGAACGGCGGTGGCGCGTGCTGCCGACCGTCGGGCGTGCAGTGGATCAGCAGCGCCGTGCCCGTGAACGCTGCCACCATGTGCAGCGTCGCCAGCGTTGTCGGGAAGCCGAAGTGCAGGTAGAAGAGCAGGTGCTTATTCAGCAACACGCATAGGGCGCTGTTGGCGATCCACGCCAAGATGCAACCATACACAAACTTGGCGGAGACGGGGTGGTGGTCCCCCATGCTGGACGACGGGTATATTGGTGGGGACTACTACGTCGTATCAACTTGTGCTCTCCGCTGCCCTGGTCGTGCACAATTGAAGAAGCCCGCGCGGCCACCCCGACAATAGCACGGAGACGAGGTCACAGGCGGTTGAGTATATTGCCTAACAGCTTGAGTATCATATAATTTTACGTTGGTCGGCCAAGAGCAGCCAGTCACCGGGCTCCTGCTGAAGCTTGCAAGAACTGCGGTGGTCTGTTTAGGGAGTATCCAGCTGAGCGACAGGAATCTTGGGAGGGATTCGATATTGTATGGCCCTTCACTTCTAAGCATCCGCCTGGGTACCACCTGCCTTGCCGTCACCGGCCACTCCCGTAGGTGACACAGCCGGGCCAGGGTCTCAGTAGCCTTCAAACCTTGGGCTGCAGGCTTGCGGTAAGCGGCAGGGGGTATGACAAGGGACATACGACAACAGATGGCAGCTACCTCTAGGCGTGTCAGCCACCGCCGTCTGTTGCGGTTTGCTTTTCGGGCGCTTCCGAGGGTGGTTGTCCTCACCCCCCCTTCCTTGCCACCACAAACAACGCCAGCAGGTTGCAGATTGACACAAATCTCATTGATACGCCCGCTCTCGCTCCCGCTGTGAGGCCCATCACCACCAAACATTGTGTTGAGCATTTACAAATCGCCTTTGCGGTGACGTGGAAGAAGAGTCATTGCAATGCCGGCGGCATCTTGTGGGTCTAAATCTGTTCAGCCCCGCGCGCGCTGGCACCCCGCCGTGCGCGGCGCCCCCCCGCAAGCGTTACACGCCACGGGGCCGCGCGCACGGCGCCGGCGCGCGCAGCGCCCCCAAACACCCCGCTGCTGCGCGGCCGCCGCCTAGTAGCGGTACGCCGGGGGCTTGTAGGGGCCGTCGACGGGCACGTTGATGTAGGTCGCCTGCGACGGCGTCAGGCGCGTGAGCTTCACGCCCAGCTTGGGCAGGTGGAGGGCGGCCACCTTCTCGTCCAGGTGCTTGGGCAGCACGTACACCTTCTTCTCGTAGCGGCCGCTGTTGCGCTCGTTCCAGAGCTCCAGCTGGGCGATCACCTGGAGTGGGGCGGCGAGGGCGGCAGGGGTGCGGGGTTAAGAAGGGGCGTGGCGCGAGAGGGATTCACATTGGTGTGCTGGCTGCTTGGTGTGCTGTGAGGTACACAGCAGGCGCGGGGCCCAACTGAAGCGGGCACAACAAATGAGTGGGGACGAACAACACGCGCGGTGCCTGCATCGCGGGCACTGCCACGTACCTGGTTGGTGAATGAGCAGCTCATCACGAAGCTGGGGTGGCCGGTGGCGCAGCCCAGGTTGAGCAGGCGGCCCTCAGCCAGCACGATCACGCCGTGGCCGTCGGGGAAGATGAAGCGGTCCACCTGCGGGGAGGGGGCAAACGCAGGTTGGTTTCAGCGGCTGAAGGTCTCACCATTGTGGCAATAACTCAGGCAACCGAGCCAGGAAAACAGCCCCAATGCAGGCAAGCAGGCAGGCAATTGCACAGCCAGCGGGTTGGCGGACCCCTGGATGGTCACCTGGGGCTTGATGTTCTGGCGCTTGATGCCGGGGTAGTCGTAGAGGCCGGCCATGTCAATCTCGTTATCAAAGTGACCGATGTTGCCTGAGGGGGTTCAAAGCCGCGCCGGCACCAAGTGAGTAAGGGACAGGTCAGGTGGAAGGCACACAGCTCTTTACCGGCGGAAACTGCAGCACCTCACGTGCCGCCAGTGCAGCCGCTCGCACAGTGCAGGCGGCCAACTACAGGCACCCCCTGCGCCGCTCCCTCCGCGAGCCCCCGAGCCCCTGCGCACCGACGATGGCGTTGTTCTTCATCTTGGCCATGTGCTCGGCCATGATGATGTCCTTGTTGCCGGTGGTGGTGATGAAGATGTCGGCGGTCTCCAGCACGTCCTCCAGGGGCAGCACCTGGTAGCCCTCCATGGACGCCTGCAGCGCGCAGATGGGGTCGATCTCGCTCACGATCACGCGCGCGCCGCCGGCCTTCATGGCGCTGGCGCAGCCCTTGCCCACGTCACCGTAGCCCGCGATGAACGCCTGGGGAGGGGGTTTCGGGGGAAGAGGCCAGGTGAGATGTCCTGTTGGCCAGCTGGTGGCGAATTGTGGTCCACACTACATCACAACAAGCGACAGGCTGGCGAGATACCGCAAGGTAGCCATCGCCGCTGTAAAGCAGCGCCGACCCGTCGGCCGGGCGCCTGCACTCCCAACGCCTTCACCCACCCCCCACCCTCCCTCCCGGGTGCTCACGATCTTGCCGGCGATCATGACGTCGGTGGCGCGCATGATGCCGTCAGGCAGCGAGTGGCGGCAGCCGTACACGTTGTCGAACTTGGACTTGGTGACGCTGTCGTTCACGTTGATGGCGGGGAAAAGCAGGGTGCCGGCGTCCTGCATCTCATACAGGCGCTTCACGCCGGTGGTGGTCTCCTCAGACACGCCCTGCATCTTCTTGGCCATGCGGGTCCACTTGGTGGGGTCCTGTTGGGTGGTGACAGGGGCGAGCGGGCGATGGCTCAGGAGGGAGGCCTGGTTTGTGACTTTGGGACACGGCGTCTCAGAGTGTCTTACGGATAAGGCAGCGAAGCTTTGCATCACACATGCAGCACAGCATGGCAGCCCCACTCTGCGTGGCCATGGGGCCGCGCCCGACGGTTGACCCCGGAGCGCCGCCCACCGTCTTCAGGGTCTCCTTGATGATGGAGAGCACGATCTTGAACTCGGGGTTGGTGGTGGAGTTGGGGTCGGGCACGGTCCCGTCCTTTGCGAAGTCGGCCTCGGCCTTCACACCCTCTGCGGTCAGAGGGTTGTCGTGTCAAGCTGGATTTAGCCGTGCGGCTAGGTGCTGGCAACACTGCAACATGCAGGGCAGGCTGTTCAGAACTTTGCACCATCAACCCCTGCCGCCCCCTGCGCGACAGTCTTGCTGACCCCTTGTCCGCAGCTTCCCCTCCTCGACCCCTGCCCGCAAACACCTCTGTACCCAGACAAGCCTGCCAGCAGGCCCGCGCACCGTGGATGATGAGGGTGGCGTCGCCACCGTCGTCGACCAGCAGGTCGGCGCCCTCGCCGTCGGGCCAGGTCAGCGCCTGCTCGGTGCACCACCAGTACTCCTCCAGGGTCTCGCCCTTCCAGGCAAACACGCTGGCGGAGTCGCGCGCGATGGCCGAGGCGGCGTGGTCCTGGGTGGAGAAGATGTTGCAGCTGCACCACCGGACCTCGGCGCCGAGGGCCACCAGGGTCTCGATCAGCACGGCGGTCTGGATGGTCATGTGCAGGGAGCCGGCGATGCGGGTGCCCTTGAAGGGCTGGCTGGGGCCGAACTCGTCGCGGCACGCCATCAGGCCGGGCATCTCGGCCTCTGTGGAGTGAGCGCCGCATGCAGGGGTTGCAGTAGGTAAGATCACAAGATCAGACATCTCCGGGTTGTGGGGAGGCCCGCCTATATCGCAAGTCTGAAACGAATGAGGCAAGGTGAGGTGGCGGTGGTCGCGATCAGCACGCCGCTAGCGTCAGGGTGCCCGTGCGCAGCGCTGCCAGACCACAAAGGCCTTCAAACGCACCAGCGAGCTCGATCTCGAGACGACCGAAATCGGCCTCATTGATGTCCTTGACCTTGAACTGTGGGTTAGGCATCAGGTGGACAGAGGCGGCCGGTAAGCAGTGCCGCGTGCCAGTACTGCCTGGCCCAGCCACGCCGGGCACAGACGGGTGGTGCGCGCTGGCGCCAACCCAGCCGCCGCACTGTGCCCGGGGCCGATGCTGGCCTTCCGTGCGCCTTATGTTCGACACGTTCGTCTAAATTTTGAAGATCCAGCAGGGCCGCACGGGAGCCCGCTGGGCGGGGCGCAGAAAGGCGATATGCCCGGCTGGGGAATGCGCCACTGATCCCATCTGATCGCACGCGCAAGCCTGCCGAAGGGTTGCCCACCTCACGACCGCTAGCACCCTGCTCCTTCTTAAGCTCGACAGCCATGTTTGCGATGCGGTGGGCGACGATCTGGGAGAAGGTCGCGAGGAGCGTTTATGCACCGTCGAAGGGTGCAGTGAAAAAGGTGAAGGTAAACGTGGCTGATCGCGCCTTTTGGGCAGAAATGAAGCGTGCAGGAGGGCAAACGTTGGCAGTGCGCAGGTGCTCGCAGGAAGCTCCGGGGAGGCTGGGCACCTGAGTCACTCAAAAACAAGAGAAAAGACTCCCTACGATGTCATATCACCACCATGCTACGGGGCTGCGGCTGCCACCCAAGTGACGGGTTCCCGCCTTGATGAGCACCTCCTCGTCGAACGCTATCGCGCTGTACGGACTCCGATGTAAAATTTCTGCTGTAGGCCTAGAGATAAGGAGCCACGCCCCTGATCAAGACGCTTGCACGCACAGCGCCTGGCGGTCCGACGTGTTGACCACCACGCAGACTGTGGCACTCGACCACACGGGCACGGGAACGCGAACGGCGACAGGGCCAAGGGGTATGACAGCTGGTTCCGCTTACAACGCCGTCTGTATGTGCTGACGGGGCGCCTTTAACCGTCCGCCGCCTCCCACTCCACTGCCCCCACTTGGTGGTCCGCTGCCCCCCTCCCGCTCCCGCTGCCTCTCTTCGTGCGCGCGCCGCATCACGCCCTCCTCATCGACTGCCACCTCGGCCGCAGCTTTGCGGAACGGCTCGAGCGTCTCCTGCTGGCCGCACCGCTGCAAGTGGCGGCGGCGGTGGAGCAGCACCGTGTCCACGTGCTGCCCTTGCTTCTGCGCCAGCTCGAGTGCACGGGCCCATTGATGCATGCGGATGTGGAGCTTGACTGCCCGGTAAACCAGGCCCGCCTGGCAATTCAGATGGTAAGGATGCAGCGGCACAAATCGGCGCGATGAGCGGCGCACTGTTGCGTCAGCCTACGGCAGCACCGCGTTTGATGGGTTGATTACCTGATGCAACATGAGCCTGGGTTGCCACCATAAAAGGGCGGATGAAGAATAGCGTCCTAGAAGCAAGCTCTAGCTGTGCACGCAGCCCGTCACTACCCCGCACCTGCAGCAACAGCGCCTCAGCCTCTGCCGGCTGCCGCCGGTAAAGCGCCAACTCCGCTGCGCGAGCCTGGGTGCTTCGCAGCTGCCCGCAGCGCTGCACAAACATGAGCTTATCAGCGGCGCCGATGGCGGCGAACGCCGCCTCGCCTACTGCTAGCTCGCCGGCACCCACTGCCATGGCAGCTAGGACCGCCCAGAGGCTGGGGTCACCAACAAACCTGGGCCGCATGGGGCCAGGTGGCGCATAGTGAGCGGGGCCACAAACGCGCACAATGAAACAGGACATGCCCGCATGCAGCACTCGCGCAGCTTCAGCACGTGAGGCAGCATAAGTCAACACATAAACAGGGCGCCCACTGGCTGTCATGGCATTGAGATCGCAGGCAGCGCTCTACTCTAGTGCGAGCACTCCGCGGTCCCCCACCTGCACAGGCGCGCTGCCTTGTCCCACTGCGCGCCCCGCACCAGCTCATAGAGCATGGCCGGGTGGGGTGGCACCCACGCAGCTACCCGCGCGCCATCAGCGCGCGCCACCAGGACATTGCCGCCGAAGAAATCTGACACCTGCGCGCCTGGCCCAAAGTTGCTGCGGCGGCGGGCGGTGCGGGGGGCGCGGTCGGTGTGAGAGTGCAGGCAGCGCGCTGCGTCGCTGCGTGCCAGGGGCTGCGGCGCGGCCCCAAAAGCCCGGCAGCGCGGGCGCGCGCGCCTCTGAGCCGCCGCACCTGTCCCCGCGCGTGGCGCGCGTTGCATCCAGCAGCCCTGGGTCGACAAATGCGACCCCCGGGTGGTGCCACACCACCAGCTTCCCGTCCACCACGGCCGCCAGCATGGGGCACGCGTCGTGCCACGTGGCCGCGTCGACGTTGGAGGCCAGCTTGGAGGATGCTCGGCGCGCCACATGCACGAGGGTCAGGTCCCTGTTGGAGTCCACTATGGCCAGCAGCCGCTCCGCCACTGTGCCGGCCTGGGGCCAAAAGGGGGGGGGACGGGCGCTTGAGGGGGGGCGCAGCCGAGCAGGTTTGGCAACGGGTAGGCTGGTGCTAATGACCAGAGCCACGCTCGGGCCCCGCGTGCGTGCGTGGTAAATTTGCTCGCGCCCCGCGTGCGTGCGTGGTAAATTTGCTCACGCACGCGGGGCGCGCCGTAAGCGTAAGGGGGAAGGCGGAGGGATGCACATGCAGTAGGCAAATCCCTGCACATGCGCTCTGAACTAGTTTCCAGGCGCACCTGGCTGAGTGCCACTTGTCGAATCTCCACTCCATGAGCTACGGGCTCCCCTTGCTGGCGGCCCTGCGGCAGCGAACGCGGGAGACACGGAGGCCGTTTCCGGTGTGTTTGTAGCAGCCGGTTGCCAGCAGCAACAGCAGACACCGCAGCTGGTGTGCTCGCCAACAGCAGAGACACGGGGTGCACGCTCTGTGCATGGCCATCACATGTACACCGGCCTGCACTGCAGCCGCAGCAGCCCCGCGCGCCCACGGCTTTTAGTTCCTCGCCCGCCACCGCCCGACCTTCCCCGGGGGCGCACCTGCGCGGTGTCGAACAACCGCACGCTGCTGCCCCCCGGCCCGTCCATCGCCGCCAGCGTGTCGGGGCTGAGGCTGACCATCTGCGCGGACAGCAGCTCCTGCCGCATGCCGGCGGCCTTCGGGCTGCACACCACGCGGCCGTCATACGTCACCACCTGCAGTGCACACGGCCGCGTCATCACCACGAAGCGCCCCAATGTGGGTGCCTAGGCGCAGCCGCGTGCTTGCGCACGTGATAGGACGCCGGCGAACTATTGTACAGCAGCGTGTGCAAGCGCGCGCACGCACGTGCCCGCGCATACCTGCATGCCCGACGCCGCGTCGCAGAGCAGCATGGAGCGCTCGCACTGCAGGAGCAGGTGCAGTGGCTGCTGCAGGTCGAAGATGTGGGGCGTGTTGAAGTTGGAGGTGCTGTAGATGTGGCACTGCGCCGACGCCGCGACCACCAGGTGGCCGTAGCCTGCGACAGCCCGGCAGCAGCAGCGGCGGGGACGTGTCCACTACGATCAAAGTCCAGGTGTGGTGGTTGTTGACCGACGCTTACGCAACGCCAGGCATCCTGCGAGCCGCCTGTGCACCACTTATCTTGCGCCCATGCAATTACTAGCCAGCCGGCCAGGGCGTCTGGCCCTGCCTCTTGAGGTGCCGCAGGGCGGACCCAAATGCCCCACCATTACTGGGATCAACCCCACCTGCCGCAACCACATTGCGCCCAATTGCACACCCTCGCAACGCGAAAGCGCGCCGCCACGTGCGCGCCTGCGCCGCCGGCCCCCGCCCCTGGGCCCCTCACCCAGTGACACCTTGACCACGGGGTCCCTGAATTCAAGCAGCTCCTGCGTCTCCCCCAGCACGTCATGCACGCGGATCCGCCGCTCGTCCTGCGGTCGCAGGTCAGAGCAGCCCCACAATCCCAGCGAGTCAGGAAGCCATGATGCTCAGCAGCAGATTCGGCCCTCCAAAGGACCAGCTTCAGGGCAAGCGGCTGGGCGCCGCCGCGGCGCTCGCGGCAGGAGGTTGCTGGCCTAGAGGGGCGGCGAGAGGGGAGCCCCTGCAACACCGCGCCGGCCGTGCGCCGTGCCGCGCGCACCTCCAGGAGCGCGTGCACGCGCCTGTCCTCCAATCGGATGTCGACCAGCCGCCCAAACACCACACCTCCGCCGCCGCCGCAGCCTGCCAGCTGCATGCCGTCGGGGGACCAGGCCAGGCCCAGGATTGACCCCACCTCCGCGCGGGCCTGAGGGGGAGTTTGACCACATTGATGGGTCAAGCAAACCGCTGAGCAGCTATTGGCCAGGGGAGCCCAGGCTGCGGTGGGGCGCCCCTCACACCCCTGCACGCACGGCCACTGGCCGCAGGCTCGACGCTCAGCTGACACCAGGGTCCCTCCGCGCGTGAGGTTGCGTTTTGTGTCCATCATTTCTGTGTCTTCCAGCAGGCACAAGGGATGCCTGGACGCACCTTGGCGTGCGCCCAGCCCATGCGGTCGCAGAGCGCGATGCTGTTGAAGGACCCCGCGGCAAACATCTCGCCGCCGGGGCTCCACGCCACGCTGGTCACCGCGTGGTCGCCGGGCGCGCTCGAGAACAGTGGCCGGCCAAACGCGTCCCACACCTGAGCGCGCCGGGGCCAGGCTACTGGTCAAAACGGTGACAGCTCGGCCCCTCGCAGTGCGGTCAGGCCACCGGCGGAGGCAGCCTTGATTGTGCGCGGCTCATCCCAAATCGCAGCGAGGAGCAGGCGTCGCTGCACGGTAGCAGGCGTCCGCGCCGCACCCCGCCCACCTTGTACTTGCAGTCCTCCCCGGCAGTCACGATGAGCCCGCTGACCGGGCTCCAATCCAGCGCCAGCAC